TGGCCTGCTGTAGCTTTCGGTATGCCACAGAATCACAGGATGGTTGAGGTTGGAAGGGTCCTCTGGAAGTCATCTGGTCCAACCCCCCTGCTGAAACAGGGTCACCTAGAGCCAGTTGCCCAGGTGGCTTTTGAGTATCTCCAAGGAGGTCCTTGGAGCAGTCCCAGCTCCCCAGGTAGAGAATTTGAAGAATGTCTGGAAATAAATCCTCATAAAAAGTTTCATTCTAAATACCATAAGAAAAATTTATATTTTCCCCTTTGGGTTCTCTCTCCTTGCCAGCTTGCCACCTGAGGGATATGGTTTTGTATAAAACCATCTTAAATCTTCTGCAACAAGGAGTCCCTGGCCTGCTGCTGTGGTTTTAAAGCTCCTTCCTGGGTTGATTCTGTTTCCAGAGTCCTTATGAGGCTTTGAAATGTTTCTTTCAGTTTCCAGAGCTCTGCTATTTTCTCCCTGTTCAGCCTCTTTGTGTTGAGAAGTCAATGGTGCTGTGGGTGGAAGATGGAAAACTGCAAGAAATGTAGTCCAGGGATTAGGTGTGTGGGCTGTTCGGGTGGAAACCATGTATCACATCATGAGAAATCTGTAAGACTCAGGGAGGCAGAAATTAGTACAGTATGCAGTTGAGTTAGTAAAAGTGGAAGTGACTGAGTGTCATCCTCTCTGCCAATGCAAGACTGGCACTGCTAGCAACCAAAATTTTCTGTCTACCCGTAGAGCAGGTCTAACGCTGGAAAAAGGAGAGCAAGCCTCCCTCCTGTTGCATTGCCCACATGACTGTTCTGCCAGCTCAGGAAACAATGTGTGGAAAATAGGGAATCTTCCTCCCCTCTGGCTGTGCTGGGCTTGCTGTCTGAGATAGCAGCGAGGACCACTGCAGGTGGTGCTTTGGTGATCTAACCCCAAGACAGCCAGAGCTGGGACAGAGGAGAGGAAGCGTGTGGCACAGCTGGGAGCAAACTCAGAGCTGTTTGTTATTTATTTTTAGCTTCAAGAGCTTTTTTCTGCCCATGGTACAACCCTTCTGTGTGCTTCTACACATATCTTGAGAAGCTTGCATGCTTTCAGCTCTAACTCCACATCATTGGTACCAGCACAGGTCTGGGTGCTGCTTCAGTAGAATCTTGGGGGTGGAGATGACAATTACAGCACAGACGGTGTTCTGAATCACTGCGAGGTGTATCATTTGCTGGGTTCATGCAATATTAAAAAATATGCTCTAGACATTGTTTCCTTGAAATAAATGAGGATGCTGATGAGAGAAATATGCATCAAAACACAGCATCAGATTTTCCTCAACCCAGGAAAATCACAACTTTAACAGACAACTGCTACTATAATATTCCTTGGCAATTTAAAGGTAAAGAAACATGTAAGTCCTTTCTGTTCTGCTTTGAATAGCATGTACCTGAAATTTGGAGACTGGATTTTGAGACTTAAAGATTCCTCTTATAAGAGAGGAATTAAGAGGAGATACTTAAAATATTTAACTTCAAGTATTTCTTGAATTTCTATGCACTGAATTTTGTATCATGATACCAAGACATTGTGGGGACAGTGCAAATATGATAACATTTAGGCTAAAGGCTAGGATGCCTCATGCTTTGATAATAACATTATTACATTTCCAATCATCTATAAAGTGGGCAGGTGTATTTAAAGTAGAAAATAGCTGACGTAAAAAATTGTGTAGGTGGATTTCTCTTTCTTTCATGACCAAAATTACACACTTCAATACTTTAGGTGAGCTCAACGAAGATCTATCTGCAACGGTTGTTACAAGAACTTGGAAATGAAACAGGCTTTCCCCCAAGACAGACAGGATGCATTTTCTCTTCCCTTCTCCTATGCATTACCTGTATGCTGTAAGCTAAGCAGTAATCATACCTTCTCCTCATCCTTGCTTTTTTATCACTGATTGCAGGGTCAACCTGAATCATGACAAACTACAGTAATTGCTGGGGAGCCCTCAGTATTCACTTTCCCCCTTCACCCTATCCTCTAAACAGAAAGAGAGGCGATAGCGAGATCTATTTCTTCTTTTCACGGAGCCTCTTGTGAGCTCAGTGTTGCAAATGAGATTCCTTCTTGTTGGCATAGTCTCTTTCATTAGCTGGCAGCAGCGGGACTGTTTTTTAAGCCTTAATCGTAACTAAAATTGATGGGGTCTTACTCTTAGGCAGCCTAAAGCTGGCTAAAATAGGTTACCAAGCAGACAATGCTATTTGAAAATCTGATCAGTTTTACTGACCAGATCTGCTTAAAGTCCAGACTTTTCTGTCTCACTATTACAACTTATAAGAGGCATGCTATTGCTCTCAGATTTAAACATGCAACCGAATTCTGATTTGGAGAATTTCAGATATGAAAGAGACCCAACTCTGAACTTTGATGGCTGACCCTATTCTGCAATTGGCTGGACCCAAACTCTTTTCTGAATACCCAGGCTCTGGGATCCAGACTCCAGAATATGAATACCCCAGGTCCACTCATTACACCAGAATGTACCTTTCTACTTGGATTTAGAAAGAATTTTGTGTTTTATTAACTAGCCATCAGTTAAATAGCACATAGTGAAAAAGAAGATCTCCTAATTTCTTTGGAAGAACACTGGCTTACATGGCATTTTCCAGAAGACAAGAAAGAGCCATATATAGGGGATCACTGTGCTTAAGACACGATCTACATGTTGCCACAAACAGTTCTGATGAATAGCTTAGTGTATCCTCCCTTCATCTCACTTGTAATTGTTGGCTCAAAACTTCTTTCTAGTGGTCTGTGCTTCAGATTCATACCAAAAATGTTAGGATGGTGCTTTTAAGGAACAGATTGGGCGAGACTTGTCTAGGAAGCATGAACAAATTTCTTCAAAGCTTAGGTGCCCACTTCTTTTCCCATGACTCTGCATCCATCCTCATTTTCCTTTCCCTCACTTCTTTTATATTTGCCTCCTTGCTCAGTTCCCATATTGTGGTTTTATTTGACTCATCTTTCCTTTTTCTCGTCCCCTATACTCAAATGAGCCTTTCCCCTCTTTCAAGTCTAAAGATCTCAGGTTCTCATCAGGCAACTCATCAGCTTGCACCTCTTCCCTGAACCTTTCAGTAAGAACCAACCAGCCTGCTGAACTCCCAGTGCCTTGCTGAAGCGCTCTCGTGGTTGGGGCTTTGGTTAGTCATGAGGATGAAGCAAACCGTGCAACTGCTACCATGTTTGGGCAACCCCCTTCTGTTTACTGCATCAGTTCCAGCATTAATGTAACACATTCCCTAAAGGTGGCATGGCCCCTCACTGATCACGCAACGGCCCCAAACTCTCTGAAATTCTTTCAAATTGAAAAAAAAAAGATCACAGGAGCACCCACTGCTTTTTCTCAATGCTTTCAATCACTTTTAATGACAGCTGTCAGTACAAAATACCTGTTACAGACCAGTAAGAATGATGCACCAGTCTTTCCTCAGGATGCCATCCTCCTTGATGCAGAGCTGTATGTGGTGTTTGCAGGAATTTGGTGTGTGTAGGGCTGTGGGATTTTACCTTTATGTGATAAATGCAGCGGAGAGGCATGTGAAAAATCCTGTTGGATGAGCACTGATTATTCTTCAGATTGTACTGCTCTCTGGTGGCACATATGTGGAAAAACAGTCACTACAAATGAATAGCGATGATCTGACCTGACTGCTGACTTGCCTGCCTTACCTCCTCTGGGGTCACAGTAATTAGTGCTGGAAAAGGTAATTTGTTTAATCTAGCTTCCCATAAAGACATTACCTGGAGGAGGGAGACCATCCTGGGCTCCACTCTCAAACCTGAGGTGGAAGGGAAAGTGCCTTGCATGCTCTCCAAAGGCATATCTCCTGTTCGTGAATTTGCTGGAGAGCAGAGCGTTCAGCCCTTCCTCATACTACTGCGGTTATCGTCTTTCAGCGCAGAGGACAGGGGGGTTATCTCAAAAGACCTGCATTACACTTGAAAATTTAAATACTTACCCTGAAGATTCCTATAAGCATTTCTGGGAGAAAATGATCTGATTTATACAGATAAATAGTCTTTACCTGCAGGCATACAATGCGGTGGGTATATACTGTCCGGCTTTGCCGTTATCATATGAGGCAAAAATGAGGAAAATGAGGATTCAGTGTATGAGAATTTGTTAAGCCAATCTTTTATACTTCTGACAATACAGAATATAAAATTGGCATCTTTCTAGCCATCCAAAGTACTTTCACTGGCACTTCAAAGCACCTGTGAAGCAGCTTTCCTGCAGTGTGTCAAGACATCAGCAGCGGAGGATGTGAGGGCTGGAGCTTTTGAGGCACCACAAAGGGGAGGCTTAGACAAAGCAGGGCACTGTGCAAAGGCAGTTCCCCTGCTGCTGCCTCTTGCAAAACCAGCCTGTTAGAGTGCACAGCACCATGAGGGAGGCAGAGCCAAGGCTTTGTTGATGAATAATTTGTGAGCAAGACGTTAATAATAAGAAGTGCACAGTTTCTGTGCGGTCTCAGATAAGGGTATCCATCCTTTTGGATCAGTACAAACACAACAAGCGCATTCACTATCATGCAACTGAATTAATTACAAGGGTTTTTTTCTTCAGAAGTTTGTTCATTTTGTAATGCAGCCTTTTTACAGGAGGCAGATGAGAATTTGATTCTGTGCTGCTTGCATTTTATGTGATGACTTATGCTGCAAAATGAACATGAAGTGAGCATTACACCAAATGGCTGCACTGAGTGAGAAGGTGACGCAGGAACAAAGGCCTGAAAATTTGTCAGACAAAGTAAGGAGGATACCTCAAGTAAAATGCCAAAGCTCCTACATAACCCAGTTGTTGGTGAAAACAGCATTTGCCTTTCCGATTTGGAGTTTCTCTATGGTGCCTGTTGTTTTGGTAGTTAACAATACTGTTAGGTGGCTTAGCTGTTTGCATAAATTATTCTGTCCTGGTTTGGATATTTGCATACATTTTCATGTATGAAAATCTTCAAAATTTGCAGATCTTTTGCTGGTATAAAGAAACCTGAACTGAGAGTATCCCTGGAGCCCAATGTGAACTATTTCTTCTACTTGAGGGCTGTCAACCCATTTGGGACAAGTGAACAAAGTGAAGCAGCTCTTATCTCAACTAAAGGTAGATCACCATTTTCTGATGTCAAAACAATGGGATGAAGGGGCAAAGCAGCGAAAGATGGCATTTTCCTCTGGAAATCATAACTGAACTTTCCAATACGGGAGTAAGCAAGTTATTGAGATGAAAGGGATTGTATTTTATCTGCTTAAGATCAGCACAATCAGGGACTACTTCTCTTGAAGTTGGTAGGTTTATGTCAATGTAAAACTGATGTGACCTCAGAAGCAAAAACATTTAATTCTGTCAGAGAAACAAAATGGTTAAATATTCTTCAAGGATCTCAGTTTGCTTGAGTTTGGCAGAGCACATTTTGATAAAAGATGCCATGATCTTTAAAAAACCCCGCAATTAAAACCTTATGGACTTTGGGTTTCAGGGATGAGGAAGCATGCAGAACAGCTTTAAAATGTAATAGATCATTTAAACTTTAAGTTTTCCAGATAAATAGTGTTAAATAATGTATGGTTCTTCCAAACCAGCCTCAAAATTCAAATTTGCTATTTTGAAAAAGCAATTGATCGAAAATTATTCAACCTTCTTGAATACTGAAGACTTCTTTATCACCTAGCTACATTTCTGAGTAATAGAGTGCCGTCCCAATTGGGCACAGCTTGGAGAGTCCTTGCATTTGCACCCAATTTTCTGCCACTCCTACCTACCAGCAGACACAACTCTGTCCAGCTAAGATGGCAGTAATTGTTGCTTAACATTTTATGATTCATCTCGTGTTAACACTGCCAGCCTCTCAGAACTGGTGTTTCTTTGTCATGAATTGTACCAGGAACTCGATTTTGCCTGCTGAGCGACACAGCCCATCCTGCTTTGCAAATCTCCTCCAATGCAACAGTGATCCGCCTTCCTGAGAAAGCCAAATTCACTGGGTGAGTAGCAGCATGATGAGCATGACCACCCTGCAGGGTTCAGGATGGGTCCCTCACTCTTATTTTTGCCTATAGGTAGCTTTCACATGGCACTAATTTTGTAGAACTGAATCATTTCAGTCATGTAACCCCTGGACATTGTGTCATTGACCCCCCTTTCAAGCACTGCAATATCTCAGTAAAGCCAGTAGCAGCATTGATGTAGGTGCTGGGAAGAGTTCGGTGTCACACTGAGGAGCCTCCAGAAAGTCAAAGGCAGTGGTACCTACTGGGACTGCTGGGTTTGCCTCAGTTCATGATCACTGCTTAATCCTTCAGAGCACTTCAATCTCAAAGCAACTTGTTGCTGCCCCGAGAAGGCCGGATTTGTGGGCTTACTTTTGAAAATATTGTGGGTAGAAGTAATCCATCCTTTTACTTTGCTCGTCTACTGAGGGCATTATTGGTAATGTTTTCCAAAGCATCTGTGGCTTTTGCGAACTAGGAAGTGCTCCGGGGATATTTTAGAACAGTTATACCAAGATAGCTTCATCCATTGCAAACATGGGTTTTTCTGATGTTCTGATATCAGTCCCATCACAAGCACAGGTCCACTTGTATAAGTTGTGCCATACTGATATGACTTCTTAAAAGGTAATGAGGTATTACTGGTTTAAGCACTTTTTAAAACTGTTACAGCTGAATGCACACAAGATGTTTGTCACTATGTCTACTTAAAACAGTCATGCTTTCTAGTTTGAAAAAGCCGGCTAAACTTGGTCTTTTTTGCCTCCAAAGTCACCTTTTCCACCTTTTGTTAGCCTCATATAATTTTGGGTAAAGTTGCATAGTTTTCAGTCCTCAAGATGAGTCCATCTCAGTGTAAAGATGAAATGACTCTCAGTGACAACATTCAAATCTTTGATAAACCCCTGCAGTTAGAAGAACAGAGTGCAATCCGTTAGTAATTTTAGATGCAGCTGCGTGACATGACTATAAGGAATATCACAATATGCTTGGTTTACCACCACACTCACTTTACTGTACACCTCTTCCACAAACAGGTTTCCTTCAGTCCTGGGTGAACTGCTGCCTGCTCGGGGATGTCATTACTGGGAAACCATTGTCTCTGCCTGCAGAAGCTACAGGATTGGGATTTGCTACAAGGCAACATCACAGAGCAGCATCCTGGGGCTGAGTGATACCTCCTGGTGCATGCGGTGCTGTCCTACACAAACCAGGTAAAGCTGAGTCAGTCTAGCTGCTTAGGAAGTTAGTTGTCCTTCACGTGAATAAAGCTGGCCAGCTTCCAGAAGCACGAGAGCAGAAAGGATCTGTGTGCTTTCTTTCCGCAAATTTGAGTAATAAGAGAAGGACAACTACAAAGGTACTTTAGACTTCCTCTTAATTAAAAAATCTTATAAAGCACCTTAAAAAATAGAATTAATCTCAAACAGACCAATTTACTGCCCTTCACCTAGCCAGTGAATAAAACTTAAAAAACTTATTTGCCACTGCTTTGTCATTCCAGGCTCATATCCTGAACTGCTTCACAAAATCTCAGCAAGTGTATTTATTTCCATAAATGCAGTCTTTTTAGAATCTATATCCATCTGCAGGAGATGTCAAGCCTCCATAGGGAATGCCTTCTCCTGCCTTGTCCTCCACAGCAACAGGCACCCACCTGCCACTGTGGCAGGACTGCCAGGCACTGGGGTAGTCTTCAGTAGGCCAGTGCCAGGCTGCTTGGAGGTTTGTAAGGCATAACCCTCTTAATGGTGTAAAGGTGCTCTTGATCTAAACAAGTGTGCTTTTTTAGTGTGACATCATATAGATGTATGAACATAGCTACCTAAATAAAACATCTGAGATGCAAAGGGTTTTGCCAAAGCAGAACTCATGCTTAAATCCCCACAAAGACATGTAATAAGGAAGATATAGGTTAATATGATTACAGCAAGTCTGCTTTTATCCTGAGAGTCCAAAAATGCCAAGTGAAAGGACTCATCAGCATGCCAGGCAGGGCTTTGAAGCGATGCCACATTCACTTTGCTTACATGCTGAGCAAAATGCTGTTGCCACGTGATACGCTGCTGTATGCGGCCACCTGTTAATAGGTGGGAATTAAGCTGTATGTTATTTCTGGTAAATCACCATGAGGAGGCTCACTGTATTCTGGTTTCCATTTTCCTGTAGCTTTCTTTACAGATTTCTTCACACCGGTGTGATGAGCGATGTCTGTGTGACAGAACACCCAGCCAGGATCGGCATCCTGTTGGATTACAGTGGTGGCAGACTGTTGTTCTTCAATGCAGAGAGAGGATTGGTGCTGTTCGCCATCAGGCACAAATTCACTGATGCTGCTCACCCGGCCTTTGCCCTGGAGAAGCCTGGAGCACTTACCCTGCACACAGGCATGGAGCTGCCGGAGTTCGTGAAGCACAGCTAATGCCCTGCTTCACACTTTCAGGAAAACCGACAATTACAGCATCAGGGGACAGGGAGGGGAAGGGGGTTGTCAGGGAGGGATGTCTAGTCTTCACCAATGAATGCCACACACAGAGCTCTCCCCCACGTCATCAGTAATTGTAGTTAGTGCTCAGCCACGTAATCACCCTGAGCCTGGAGAGAAAATTGACTCCTTCAGATAAAGCATGCACCTAGTGATATACACAGCAGTACTTTTGAGGGGAAAAAAGAGTTTTGTTAGATATGAACATTAAGAGGGGGGGAAATGTACTTTTCCCAAAATAATGACGGTGCTAGCTGTCTTTTTAAAGTTGATGATGAGCCTGTGTATAAAATAAATACATCTCTCACTGCAATACATGAAAGCCATCATTTCATCATTTGCCAGGACAGTTGGAGCCAGAATCCAAGATGATATGTTTGAAAAATGTGCAAAAATTTCAACAACTGAACCATTCTGCAGGTTAATATATCTTGTGTTATTGTTTGCCAACTCTTTTCTTTAAATGCACAAATTATGAAAACTTGGAAACTTAGAAATCTGCATGTTTCCAAAATGAGTGAGTCCCAGACTAGCTTTCATACCAGTCATGTAAAGTTTTAGTATGCAACACCTACCTACCCCGCTCACAGCAGACTAACAGACAGCTACCTGCTTGTGTCAGTAAATATCTGTACCTGTAAATAGGTACTCATGAAACACATATATGAGGAAACTTGATAGTAGTGGTAAAAGTCTTCCCTATGTTTTTCATCCTCAATTTGTTGGCTAGGTGGTTTCGATGGTGAAGGGAAGGTTGCCACCTGGGACCTTAAAGAAGAGTCAAATTGCCAGTGACCTTCTTGTGGATCACCCCTTTTCCATCACTGCTTTTTACCTTTGCACTTACCAATTTGATGCTCCTATTTTCAGGCTCGTGGACATTTTCCTGCATCTGCCCTGCTCCCTCCTGTTATCTATACCAGCACCAGCATCACAGCAGCAAGGCACAGTGTTTCAGGGCCATCAACACAGGCAGGCTAAAAATGGCTGGTGCCAGCAGAGGAGTAGGACGCTGATTTTCCCCCTTGGCGTTTTCAATCTGTTTTTGCAAGCACTTCACACATCGGTGGTATGGCTGTCTTCTCGCCTGCCCCAAGGGCTGAACGCACGAGTGCCAGTGGTGCCAAACTCCAGTGAATGCTGGAGGGAAATTAATTTTAAGGCGGGCGGGCAATGCTTTTCATGCTGTCCCTGCTCAGGAGATTTCTGCCGCAGGGGACTACACTGCCAGACTAATTTCTGAGCTCAGCTGAAGAGCTGTACTCCCTGAAGTAAAGCAGATTTCAGGAGTCTAACAGAGAGGGTTTGCTTCTGAACAGAGGACTTAAATGAGTTACAGGGAGGCTTCTGCTTTTTATGCTCAGAGGAGGTGCCTGCTGTTGCTGTTTTATTTCTGATTTAACACCACCAAGGCATGTGCTTGCTGCTTTAGCCTGCTGTATGCTTGGTGTCCCAGAGGAGCCACATTCCACACTGTCATAGCAGGCTCGGGCAGGATGGTAAGATAAACAAGATCCTGTGACCATGTATTTTGAGTTAGAGCTCTTTTTGGCATTTCAATTAAAGAGTGTCAGTTCTGAGTCCCCACTGGGGAGAGAGGGGAATGAAAAAGCAAGGCAGTGCCCTGTTGGCTCAAGCAAGTGTTTTGTAGAGGTGTGCAGGATGGTGAGAAAAAGGTCCAGAATTAATTGGGAAAGACAGACAGAAAGGGTATTGAGGGTAGCGTTACCATGAAGGCTGAGGAGGAGGAGGCAGAAGGCAGGCTGGAAACTCACACAGAGCGGATGGTGATAAACTAAGAGGTGGGTCAGTGGTGTTGGCAGGGTGTGTTCCTCAGGCTCCCTCAGCCAGTAAGCTCACCAGAGGTTTGGCTATCTCCAGAGCTTAAGGTGGTGCTTTGAACTAAACCTGAAAAAACCCAGCTTTGGGGCAACTTTACCTGCGTTCTCCTCGCCCTGGTCGCTGCTGTCCCAAGTGTGGGATTGCTTCATGGACACCAACATGATGTATTGCCAAGGGGACAGCCAGTGAGAAGGAGAGCAAAATGACATGAAATTATTTGGGTGGCTTTTTCAATGAAGGCAAGAAGCAATTGCCTTGTCGAAGGTAACTGCGTATTAGTAAATAGCGGTCTTAATATGGAAAGCAAAGGCCTCATCTATTGCCACGCATTATTACTCAGGTACTACTGCAACATTTGAGCTTGGTAAAATGTTTTTATTGGAGGCACCTCATTCTTAGAAATATTTGGTTCAATTTGAAAAACTGCCTGACTCTCTTTTCTTGCTAATTTTTGTACAAGGTTCAGCTTTTAGATTGAGCAGTATCAAAAAGTCTATTTACTGTTTATGTGAAAGCTGGATAAATTATTTGAAATTGAAAATGTCAGTCAAAGAGTCTAAACAGTACTGATTTGAATGGCTAAATCTGGTCTGCATTAAGCTATGCCAGATAAAGAAATGCCTGGAGAGAATGGCTTGTTTGGAGAAATGAAACAAAGTGCACACTAAACAAAAAACAATATACAAGAATTAAGATTCAGTAAAGGGAGAAAATTCATATTAGTGAGGAAAGCAGATCCTGAAAGCCACAATTAAGCTGGTAGGACTTATAATACATGTTGCAAACTCTCCTGCCCTTGGAAAGCCTAGAGGTATATCTACTGCAATCTTTTACTTGCCTGATGGGCACAAAGTGGCACCAAGTTCAGGAATTCACTTTCCAGAAGGTAACTATCCACAGACGCTTGAATGTACAGTGCAGTCCATATGACTTTGCATTCAGATGAATTGAGATTTTGAGGCTTGTTGCATCCATTTTTTTCTGGCCATCGTAGTTTGTAACAATATACTAGAAGAGAAAGACAAAAAACTTCCAGTCACTGTATTTTTCTTGCGCTTGATGAGTTTAGCATTTAGAAATACCTTAAAACCAGTGTGACTTATTTTTCAGCAAAGGATGTTAGTTAGCTTGGCTGATAGTAACTAAGACTTTGTGCAAATGCTGACAGGGTTGTGTGGTGTGTGTGTATACAGTCTGATCATCATTCCATGCTTAGAATTACATAGAAATACATTTTAAGAGTTACGCAAAGAACTGTAAAAGAGTTCACCAGTAATTTGGGGTTTATTTTCATCCTGAACGTACAAAAGCTGATGCCTAACACTGTAAATATTATTAATAAATATTTGGACTGATCTGAAATACATTGCATTAAAAGGAACGATTTCTTTTCACTTCAGCAAGTTTTAGATTAGGCTCGTAAACCCTTGTGCACTGAGATGAGAATATAGGCCTCACTGTAAAAAGAGAAACATTAATTTCTACTGTCAAAATAGTGCTGAACTGGAATATTGCTAGTATTAGTAGTATTGATCCACAAACCTTGCTCAGGTCTTTCTGCTCCAGAGAGAGTTTAATGCTTCCATGCAACGTCAGGTGGAGGAACTCGGCAATGCATCTGCAAACCGCAGTGCATGCATGCAGGCAGGCACAACTTTGCTCTTGCCCTAGCTATTTTTAAAAGGAAAATGTCACTGAAATTTAACTGTTTGTACTGAAAATGGTCTAGTGATGCCTTATTTTAGAAATAGGTACATTAAAAACCTGCCCCTCCCCACTACTGTTGTGGAACTTAACTACATGTTATCACTAAGCCTGTTGTAAGACATAGACCCAGTGTGGCTCAGTACCAAAAAAACTGTTGCTAAATCCACAGTACCATGATACTGTCTGCTATATACATGTGAAGTATGATTTCTATTAGCACAGCAGGGTTTTGAATAGGTATGTAAAGATAGATTTAAGAATAATATGAAATTATGGTCTTTTTGAATCATCCTCATTTCAGGATAATAAATAGGACCTCTGCCATGTTGAGGTTTAAATTGGATTTGAAAAATCACATTCTGTGGTGGAATCATGATTACATTACTGTCATTTTGCTGATGGATTTACTATCTATCAAGAAGCTCAGTATGCTCAGATAGTCACACAACCAGCAAGAAAGTGAAAACATCTCTTCTACTTCCAGCCACATGCTGTGGAAGGGAGATTGAATGAGAAAAGTACCTTCATTTTTCATGTTGAGTTTGTCCAATTTTCTACCGTAGTAGAAAGTAGCATTTGCTATCCAGAGACCACTCTGCATTGCAGTTCCTACAGGATCACAACCTGGAAGGAAATGGAGCAGATGTCCACCCCAGACCTGCAATGATTTTGTCAACAGTTAGAAAATGCACCATTTCAAGTGCAGTTCCACTCTGGAAAATATCTGTGCAGAAATGACACCTTCCTTTTCAGGACTTGTATTACAGAGATGTATTTCTAAATCATACTCTTCTCAACCACGAAGAAACAGTGCTGCAAGCAGAGGTGGAAGGCACCCATATCTTGTCATACACCGTTAATGCAGTGGTCAGCTGAATTTCAACCTGCCAGACAGTCACCATGCTACTGAGGAGTGAGGAATGGAGAGCTGGACCCCAGCCACAACAGGTACAGGAGAGAACTGGCTTCTGCTGAGCAGGCAAGAAGCCAGTGTGGCTTTTAATGCTGGGGCTGGCAAAAGGAGACCTTTATCTGAGCATCCCTTTATATAGCCCAGCCTTCCAAGGTTGTAAAAGTCTGTCTCACGTTACTTCATGAGCCTGGCTCAGAAGGCACAGTGCCTATGTAGTCCCACAACTCTTATTTTCATATTCTCCATGAAGAAAACTACATTTTGAAGTAAAATTAAGAGAATTTATTTTACCTAATGCTGTAATTGTGTTTTAGATATGTCTGTCTGCTTCCTGATAGCTTTAAAGAAAAAAAAAAAAGAAAATTACTGAAAAATGATATGTGTAGAATGAAGCACAGCCTTCAGAAAAAATACAAATAAACCCTGAATACTTTGAAACAAGAGAGGGAGCTTTACATGCTACTCCAACACATCCATTGGTGTTGGTGTCCCACACTGGCTACCAGAATCATTCTCTTTATCCATGAAGGCTTTTTCATCTGAAAAACATATTAATAAAAATATTATGTGCAAGATGTGCAACTAGCAGTATAAATAACTATTAAATGACTGCTAGTGCTTAGGAAGTAATCTGTATTGGTATTTAATGTACCAAGTGAGGGTTTTCCTTTCAAAGCAAAGAATGTGTATTGAGATAGGTAAAGAGTTTTCTGTGGTTTAGTCATAGCAGAATTACACAGGAACACATGCTAATAGCCTGCCCAGGTACAGAAAGGGCATTACTCTCTAGAGTACCAAAGCAGATTTTGGAAGTTAAACCAGGGCATTTCTTGGTGGTTAAAAAAAAAATAAAGCCTGTTGTGTCACTGAGCCCAAGTGAAAAATTGCATTTTTTTGCTCAGGGCCATATACTTCTATTATATGCTTCTCCAGCAGAAACTGATGCTACGTTCTATGATTGCAATGGAGCGAGACTCAGCTTTGCTGCATGGCACTGCAGTTATTGTTGCACACGTTCAGTAAGTTCAGTGGAGCCTGAATAGGTTGGGCTTGCTGATCACATGTAACTCATTTGGGCAATTAAAGACCAATAAATCGGACAATTCCTCGAAGTGTGGGATTCCCAGGACACCTGCATACCCACAGTGGAAAAAATGCCATCAGCTTTTCTTCCAGCAATTTTTCCATGGCTGCTGGACCCTAGAAATCTCCACGGAAGGAGTACAGCAGTTAAGGTGCATCTGAACAGTACTTCTGCTGCAAGAAACGTTCATGTTTGGGCCTTAATCATGTCTGAGGTACATCTTCTGCTTGAGTTAACAGGATAAAGGTATGTAGGTCACATTCAATTTACCAGGGGAAAAAAAAAGTCCTCTTCCCCAGTCCACTGTAAGGAAGCATTTGTTGTTCTGCTACCGAAAGCATGCTTTCCGACTGCTTTGTAGTGTATTCCTCATCTTTAAAAAAAACAGGATCTCTGCTAACAGCAAAACGAGTTGCAAGAAATCCCAAGCAGTTATACAGAGCTCTGTCTTTGTCATTACTATTACACTGTTGTTTTCCAAAAAAGACTAGAAATAATTTAAGAACTTCACATTAGTGAAACTCTTCCCTTAATTAATATAGTTTTGATCTTGAGTTAAACAGGTTGACTTTAACTCTCCAAACTTAAAATAGTTATCTGCCTTTTATAGATAAGTATTTGTGTTTTCAGGTGGTACACATGTTCTGCTCATATACCATCTTGAAACTGCAAGGCAGCTCTATTATCTGCAGTGCAGTGGTTATGGAGGACATTAAAGATTATGAAGTAATGGGTTAAAGGAAAAGACATTGTGGCTATAACCCTCAAGAGGATGCTAACAAAACAGCAAATCCATGACAGGCACCACCCATGTGTAGACAGCAGGATGTTAGCATAGGGAAATGAAAGTTTGGAGATGTTACAGAGTCATAACCCAAGGAAGATGTGAATGCTGACTTTTACAGCACAAAGAGGTATATTACCCAACCAGGAGGAACGGGCAGATGAAGTATTCTACAAGCGGCTGGCAGAAGTCTCTCAATCGCTAGCCCTTGTTCTCGTGGGGGACTTCAACTTCCCGGACGTCTGCTGGAAATACAACACGGCAGAGAGGAAACAGTCTAGGAGGTTCCTGGAGTGTGTGGAAGACAACTTCCTGACACAGCTGGTAAGTGAGCCTACCAGGGGAGGTGCCTCTCTTGACCCGCTGTTTACAAACAGAGAAGGACTAGTGGAAGATGTGGTGGTCGGAGGCTGTCTTGGGCTTAGCGACCATGAAATGATAGAATTCTCGCTTCTTGGTGAAGTAAGGAGGGGGGGCAGCAAAACCACAACCATGGACTTCCGGAGGGCAGACTTTGGCCTGTTCAAGACGTTGGTTGAGAGAGTCTCGTGGG